GATATGGAACCATCCTTTATTTTGGTGATTATCATCCAAAGAATAATGATTTCCTATTTTAAGATTGGAAAAAAATGTATAGATAGATAGATATCCACATACACACTTATATATTACTATAATAGTATGCTATTATGCCATATATATAGTATTATTTTCATGTGTTATATTATACTATTTATGTACATTATTATATATGATAAAATGTATAATATATATATTTAAAATAGTATAAATAATCTTGGGGAGGGGAGAGGAGGTGACTGCTTCATATTTCTTTTTGAAGTTTATCATAGCAAAGCTGATAATTTTAGAGAGCGAGCATGGCAGGCTCCAAGGACATTATATGATTTTACTTTAAGCTTTCAGTATTGGTGTGTTTCATTCCGCCTATGACAGGAAAAATGAGTAACAGATGACTGTATGTTTTGTCTGCTGTAGTAATACCTTTTATCAGTGAATCTGTCTAACCAGCCAATTATCTTCCTGTTGTCTGAAATTAAAGACCATTATGTTTTCTGACAATGTAGAAATTTCTCTTCAGTTAAAATACATGTTGTCAGTGAAGTGAAAATAATGAAATTGCAGAAATTGATTGATTTTAGCTATATTACTGAATTCCTCCTCCAAAAACTCCAATCCAGATCATTTAAAATTTCTTATAAAATAGCTGAAATATCATTAGAGTATTAAAACTCAGCCTTGACAGTTTTTAGTACTTAGTAGATACTTGGTCTCTAAATTTTGACTTGAGATGTAAACAATAGAGGTAGCATTTCTAGTCATTCCCCTTGTGGTAGCCAGCCTCCAAGAGGGCCCCCAATGATCCCACCTCCTGATACTCCTACCCTTTGTGCAGTCTCCTCCCACGTGTACTAGGTGGGTCTGTGTGACCAATGGAATACATCAGAAGTGATGGTATGTCACTTTTGAGGTTAAGTTCTAAAAGATACTCGCATGTCCATCCCTGTCTCTCCGTCTCTCCATCTCCTCTCTCTCTCTCTCTCTCTCTCTCTCTCTCTCTCTCTCTGTCATGTCACTTGCTCTGTGGGAAGCCAGCACACTGCAAGGAACCAAAGCCTATGCCAACAGCTTGAGTACAACCTCATGAGACACAGAGCCAGAACCACCCAGCTTAACCCCTTCCAGATTCCTGACCCTCAGAAACTGTGACATTTAAAAACAACAACAACAACAACAATGTTTACTATTTGAGTTGCTACATTTGGGAGTGGTTTGTTAGGCAGGAATAGATACCTAGTACACACCTCCAGTAAAGCTGTTTCATTCTTCAGTTCTTAACATCTGTTTTTGGTTAATTGTTCTATTAAACCTGTCATCCATACCACTTACCTGACTGAGGCATTGAATTGGCTGAAAAAGACCGTATTCCCCCATTTTCTAATCCAGTGTTTGGTATAATAAATACAGACTTCAAATTCACTTTTCCCATATCTGGGCCCCATAGTAGAACCTGCCTACAAGAATTGTTTTGTGACAAGGAAGCTTTTTTAGATTATTCCACAGATTCTTTTCATTTATGTGCAAAGCCACCAATTTTGTATAACTTGTAATTACCATGCAAGCGATTATGGAATTGCTGGGAAGTACTTCAATAGAAAACAGACAGGGTAACAGCTGTTCTCAGAGAAGTCTGAGACCTTACCAAAGAAGCTCCTCGTCTAGGACTTGTAACTCAGTGATGCTTATTAATTATACTGGATAATAACAGTGTGGGTTTTTTAAAGTCATGTTTTCAGGGATTAGTTAACTATATACTCAAACCTGAGAGACAGCTTCTCAGCAAATCTGTCAAGGTCACGAATCGTACTCCCAGCTCTGCTCTCCCATCCCACTTTTTCGTCTCTGTGCTGTTCTGAAAAGGAGAAAGCCATAGAAATATTCAGGTTTACGTTTGCCTTTCTGCCCTACTAAACCAATTTCAGTACTAATAATCATTTCTTTACCATCACTAATCAGACAGAAATGGAAATCATGAATAAAACAATGTGCAGTAAGAACAGTGGAATTTCAACTTTTTAAAGGTTTTTTCCTCTTCTTTTGTCTAAATATTTTTCTGAACCTGGATTTGCCTTAGGACATTAATACCTAGGTTGTCAATCTCAAGTTTGAGGTATAAAACTCAACACAGATGTTCTTCTTTTTTGTTTTTTTCAATGTTTATTTATTTATTTTTAATGTTTATTTTTGAGAGAGAGAGAGACAGACAGACAGAGCATGAGTGGGAGAGGGGCAGGGAGCGAGAGGGAGACACAGAATCTGAAGCAGGCTCCAGGCTCTGAGCTGTCAGCACAGAGCCTGATACGGGGCTTGAACTCACGAACCTTGAGATCATGACCTGAGCCGAAGTCAGACACTCAACCGACTGAGCCACCCAGGCGCCCAATGTTTATTTATTTTTTTTAGAGAGAGAGAGAGAGAGTGCAGGCAGGGGAGGGGCAGAGAGAGAGGGAGACAGAGAATCCAAAGTGGGCTCCGTTCAGACAGCATGGAGCCTGATGCAAGGCTTGAACTCACGAACTGCAAGATCATGACCAGAGCCAAAGTCGGACACTTAACCAACCGAGCCACCCAAGCACCGCTCAACTTAAACAGATGTTCTTGGTGAAAGGAAAACATTGATGAGTCCCTGCTGTTTGACACTATTTCTTTTAAAAGTGTAACTAAAAACTAGCCTTTTCTGTTTTGTTCTCACCATGACTTAAAAAGTAAAAATAGCCAGTTCAGGAATTGGTCTTGTCTTTCTCCATCCTAAAATGGTAGAGAGACTATTTCAAAATTTTACTGAGGATTTGCTTTTTAATTGGGAGCTGAAAAACTAGGATTCTGTCTTGGACTCAATCTTTCAAATCTTTACCCCTTTAATTCACATGCTTACACGCGCACACTCGTGCATGCACACAAACCTGTAGTATGGTCAGGAAGGTGGTTATCTTGAGATGGTACCTTAAAGGAACAGGATTTATTTGGCTCTTCATATTTTCAGTATACCAGTATTATCCAAATACCCCAATAATGTCATCATTTAAAATGGTTGTAGGGGCGCCTGGGTGGCGCAGTCGGTTAAGCGTCCGACTTCAGCCAGGTCACGATCTCGCGGTCCGTGAGTTCGAGCCCCGCGTCGGGCTCTGGGCTGGTGGCTCGGAGCCTGGAGCCTGTTTCCGATTCTGTGTCTCCCTCTCTCTCTGCCCCTCCCCCGTTCATGCTCTGTCTCTCTCTGTCCCAAAAATAAATAAAAACGTTGAAAAAAAAAATTTTTAAATGGTTGTAGTCAAGCTAGAATACAGGGCTTCTAACGCTGCTTTGAACAGTTGCCAGGTGATACCAACACAATTTAGAGCATAAGGCTAAGTGATTCCTGGATCTTGATCTTGGATAGTCTAACGAAGGAAGCATCACCTTTTCAGCACTGAAACATTCTTCTGTATTAAACCCCGTTTTGCTTTATTGTCGGGGGTGGGGGGAGGTTGTTTTCTGTTTTGTTTTGTTTTTTAAGCATAGCCATTGAATTGTGAATTTCCCTTTTTTTTTCAAATGATTTCCTCTTTGTGGATGATGGTGGTAAGAAAACCTAGCTCCTAAAAATAAGAAAAGAGAAAGAAAACCTGCTTCTGATGAAATAATTTCTAAACATTGATAAATGACAGTAGTTTTTATGACTAGATTTCATTTGAAAGCTTAAATTATATAGTACTTTGCTGTGGTTTTTGAGAAAGTTTCCTCAATGCTGTATTAACACCTCATTTTTGCTTTTGGTTGTAAAATGTCCCAGGAAACGTTTCCAAGTCTGTGTAGTAAAGGAATTGTTAATGTCACTCTGTTACCTGCATGTAATCTATGATGCTCTTATGAAGTAATGACTTCAGGTCCCTCCTAGTAAAGCTGAGAGAATAGGGAAGCCAAAGACTTATCTTTCTACTCCCTTCCTGATCCTTGGACCCAACTTGGCAACCCAGGCCCTAAAGCAGATTTCAGCCCCCATTCCCTACGCACCTTCTCTCTCAAGCCTGAAGCCCACCAAGCCTGAGGGGGACAAAAAGGAAGGTGGCAGATAGCAGCTGAACAGAGACTAGAGGAAAGGGTAGAATTTGGAAGCAGGTAGAAGGGATTTTGTCTGCACCTGGTTGTGAGTGCCTCCACCCTCTTGACCCGCCAATAACTGAGTGTTCAAATCACAAATAGTCATAATGTGAAAACACTTTTAGTGTCCTTTACTTATCTACAACTGCCTTGTTACATCCCTAAATATGTAAACTCATAAACTACCTGCTGGTAGTACAAGCATTCATAAGCAGAGGCAGTAGCGTGGTGGTTAAGGACATAGACGTTAGAGCCAGGCTGCCTGGATTTAAATCCTACTGCTTTAAAAAAAAAAAAAAAAAAAATTTTTTTTTAATGAGTAAACTCATTTTTGAAAGAGAGACAGAGTGTGAATGGGGGAGGGGCAGAGAGAGAGGGAGACAAAGAACCCAAAGCAGGCTCCAGGTTCCAAGCTGTCAGCACAGAGCCCAACACGGGGCTCAAACTCACAGACCGTGAGACCATGACCCAAGCTGAAATCGGATGCTTAACCAACTGAGCCACGCAGGCGCCCCTAAATCCTACTTCTGACCACTTGCTAAATGAGTAACCTGGAACAGGTTACTTGGCCACTGTTTAATAATTTTCTCACCTGCAAATTGAAAATGATAGCCCTGCCTTATAGGCTTATAAAATTTAAATAATCTAATGTGAATATAAATGCTTACAACAATGTCTAATGCATAGTTAGCTCTACATAAGTAATTGTCCTCGTTAATGTTATACCGTGACCCCTCTCCACTGTTGTTTCTACGTTCAGATGGCTCAAGCACCAATGAGATCTGTAGTCAGCAGGTTCCATTCATACTACCACCACCACCTTTAATGTGTAACAACTAGCAATTCTCCCTCCGCAATAGTTTTAAAAAGCAAAATGCTGATGTTTTTCTCTTTCCCAGGCCCAACACAGAGATACTTTCATTGAAGAACGCTATGGAAAATACAACATCAGTGATCCTTTAATGGCCCTGCAGAGAGACTTTGAAACACTGAAGGAGAAAAATGATGGCGAGAAGCAGCCGGTCTGCACAAACCCACTCTCTGTTCTTAAGGTGGTGATGAAGCAATGCAAGAACATGCAGGAACGCATGCTGTCCCAGCTGGCCGCGGCCGAGAGCAGGCACCGGAAGGTGGGTTCACCCAGCTGACCTGTGCCACATAAACTCTTAGGAAGACTTGATAAATAATACCAGATACTTTCTTGTCAGCTGCCAGTTTCCACAGTAAGTCAGCTGGGAGGTCTCCCGGGTGTCAAAAGCCCCGCAGCTTACCCCAGAGCCAAGAGATCAGAAAGAAAACACAAGTTATTCAAAATGTTAAATTTAGGGAGGATGCCAGACACATTACTAAAGACGGCATTCCTTCTTGATATGACACTCCAAAACACTGGCTATGTTTTTTCAGCTCTTGATCGTCCAGACTTTGGCAACAAACGGGTCTGACCAAGCTTGTAGGTGAACAGAGTGTTCCCTATTTGCTTACTTAAGTGATAAATAACAAGATGAGCAGGTATTTGGGGAATGCTGGATGAGGGAGAGAATTTACCTGACTATAAACATGGAAGCCAATAGATTATTTTCATGTGTTCCTACTTTTGAGTTTCATTGCATTTTACTTTTCGTAAAATGATAAACAGTCCCTAGGATTGTTTACTTTAAAGCTGTTCGAACCTATTAGGAAAGTGTGTGTGTGTGTGTGTGTGTGTTTGGCTCCCGGTCTTACAGCCCCGAGCTAGGAAGGCAGACCTGTGCTTTCCTCTACCTCATCTCATTGGAATTCTAATGCTTATGATTTTATTCCCCAACCTGTCATTTACCGCTGAAATCTGGCCTGTAAAAGGTGCTTGGCTAAAATCTACATTTTCTAAAAGTATTGGTTTAGATTTATACCAGCAAGGGAGACATCAACACATCTAGCAGGAAACATTTTATTCTGAAAAATGGGGTCAGTGGCTGCAAATTGATGAACTTTAGTTTACTTTTATGATTGCCTGCATTAGAGAGCCATCTGCTTAAAACGCACCTGACAGATTGCTTCAGCATAGGTCTTGCCCATGATTTTTCTTACTCTTCACAGTGTCCAAATGAAAGGCCAGAGTAGAGATTCTTAACCATGGATGGGCCTCAGATGTTCCATGATCCTCCAGAAAATATACAGAATGCCAAAAGTTTATGCATTTTTGTAGAATGTGAATTTTTTCCCATATCTTTAATTGAATTCTCAGAATTGTCCGGGACACAGAAGAGTTTAACCTCTGGTCTAGAATGAAGTGAACTAAAGACATTTATGCCCAATTTAAAATGTATCAGTGGCGGGGGGGGGGGGGGGGGGGGGGGGCGCCTGGGTGTCTCAGTCAGTTGAGTGTCCGACTTTGGCTTAGGTCATGGTCTGTGAGTTTGAGCCCCAGTCGGGCTTTGTGCTGACAGCTGGGAGCCTGGAGCCTGCTTCGGATTCTGTGTCTCCCTCTCTCTCTCTGCGCCTCCCCCGCTCATGCTCTCTCTCTCTCTCTCTCTCTCTCTCTCTCTCTCTCTCTCTGTCAAAAATAAACAAACAATAAAAAAAATTTTTTTAATGTATCAGTGCATTTGGGTTAGTTGCCTAAATTTGGGGGGCTTTTACATAATCCTCTACGAAAGGCTTCACAGCATCCTTGTCTGATAGGCAGGCCTTTTTCCCCTTTCCTCCATGAAGCAGTTGAACTGTGCTGAATGGCTGGCTGGCCATGATGCCCATGAAAGGTGTGGTGTTGGGATGATTTGTGGCTCTAGGTGATTAGGGAGAGAAAGAAGTTAAAAATAATTCAAAATTCTTTAATACTATATTTCAACGTAAGTTCCTTTAAGTGAGTGTCAAATATTTTAAATCAACCACCTGTCTTTTTTAAGTGTTTTATCAAAGTAAAACACTGACTTTGTTACAAATTCAGTAGTACCTAGGGGCTTATAATTAGAGTGTTTATTGGCCCTGTTTGCCTGAGAGAGTCCCAGTTGTTGTCTATCGCCTTGGGATAGTCATTAAGAATACCCCCTTTGACTCTCAGAAGTGTTGTGGTTTGAACAGTAAATTATATGGTTACTCTGCTTATTATGAAACACAGAGTTCCCTGATCCACCTCTCCCCATTCCTTCTTCTCCTCAATATTCAGAGACAACACTTTTTTCCTTTTGACCATTTATTTTGCTTGGTAAATTCCATATTTCTAAATGGTATACCATTCCCCCCTTATCAATTCTTTTTTTTAATGTTTGTTTATTTATTTTTAAGAAAGAAAGAGAGAGGGAGGGAGCGGGGCAGAGAGAGAGGGAGAGGGGGAATCCCAAGCAGGCTCCATGCTATCAGCACAGAGCCCAATGCTGGACTTGAACTCACGAACTGCAAGATCATGACCTGAGCCTAAATCAAGAGTTGGATGCTCAATCACTGAGCCACCCAGGCACCCCCACCCCCTTATCAATTCTTGACACTTAAATTGCTTCCTCTCATTATAGGTGCAGATTTATCTTGCATCTTGCCTCCCTTTCCACCCTACCACCTTCCCAAAACAAACAATCCTCTTTCCTTACTCACTCTCGGTCGTATCTGCTATTCCCAAATCCTGAGACTGTCACATTCAGTTTCCTCTGAGGATAAACATCTGCCTAATGCCTGGTCAGTAGACACCTAATACTCTTTATACAGGAATCAGGTGGAAGGGACAAATAACTCCTGGAAAATACAGATTTTGAGCCAATCTTCTTGTTTCCTATCCCTCATCTGACCTCTCCTCAGCAGCACCTGCCGCCTCCAGGTTCCACACCTCTTTGGGGCCTTGCAGGGCGAATCAGCTTCCAACCCCACACCAAAGGAGCCACCACCTCTTGCCTTCTTCCCTCCTTTAACATTTCTTGTCTGCTCCAGTCTGTCTTTGTGGGTGTGATAAACACCCATTCCATTTCTATAATTTTAGAGGGCTCTCCAAAGGGAAAGGAGATGATCTACCACCCGTAGCCAAAAGCTTGTCTTTCTACTAAATTGAAAAGTTAGAAGTTGTTTTTGTTTTGTTTTTTAATTTTTTTTATTAATGTATATTTATTTTTGAGAGAGAGAGACATCAAATCTGAAGCAGGCTCCAGGCTCTGAGCTGTCAGCACAGAACCTGATGCAGGGCGCGAACTCACGAACTGTGAGATCATGACCTGAGCCAAAGTCGGACGCTTAACTGACTGAGCCACCCAGGCGCCCCTGTTTTGTTTTGTTTTATTTTTAGGTAATCTCCACACCCACACCCAACATGGGGTTCGAACTTACAACCCCAAGGTCAAGAATCCAATGCTCTACTGACTGAGCCAGCCAGTTGCCCAAGTTAGGGTTTTTTTTTAATTGGAAGGAAGTATACCAAGATGTTTTCATTTTGGTAAATGAAAACATTTTGTGTTTAAAGAGGAGTTTCATGTGCCAGAAACTTTTCTCCCTCCGTTAGTGAAGAGATAGGATGAGAAATGGTCGTGGGGAGGACAGTGCTCTGTCTTAGAGGTCTGGGCCAAGGCACCTCTGAAGGAGGAGCAGAAGCTGCTAGGAAATCCCTTGCCTTTCAGAATATTGCAGTTATAGGTAGGATTATGTGGGAAATGTCCCTTTATTTTTTTTTTACTCTGTACTTTATTTTTTTTTTTGTTAATATAGTTTATTGTCAAGTTAGCTAACATACAGTGTATACAGTGTGCTCTTGGCTTTGGGAGTAGATTCCCATGATTCATCGCTTACATACAACACCCAGTGCTCCTCCCAACAAGTGCCTCCTCAATGCCCATCACTCATTTTCCCCTCTCCCCCAACCCTCTATCAACCCTCAGTTCGTTCTCTGTATTTAAGAGTCTCTTATGGCTCATCTCCCTCCCTCTCTGTTTGAAACTGTTTTTCTCCTTCCCCTCCCCCATGGTCTTCTGTTAAGTTTCTCAGAGCCCACATATGAATGAAAACATATGGTATCTGTCCTTCTCTGGCTGACTTACTTCACTGAGCATAATACCCTCCATTCCATCCATGTTTTTGCAAATGGCAAGATTTCATTCCTTCTCATTGCTGAGTAGTATTCCATTGTATATATAAACCACCCACATCTTCTTTATCCATTCATCAGTTGATGGACACTTGGGCTCTTTCCAGAATTTGGCTATTGTTGAAAGTGCTGCTATAAACATTGGGGTACATGTGCCCCTACGAAACAACACTCCTGTATCCTTTGGATAAATTCCTAGTAGTGCTATTACTGGATCATAGCGTAGTTCTATTTTTAATTTTTCGAAGAACCTCCATACTTTTCCAGAGCGGCTGTACCAGTTTGCATTCCCACCAACAGTGCAAGAGGATTCCCATTTCTCCACATCCTCGCCAACATCTGTTGTTTCCTGAGTCGTTAATTTTAGCCACTCTGACCAGTGTGAGGTGGTATCTCAATGTGGTTTTGGTTTGTAGGGAAATGTCCCTTTAAATTTGTGCAGTATTTGCCTTCAAATTGGGCTTAATCCTTTGGTGCCAGGATAAGTGGAATGGGTTAGGCAGGTTAATCAGAGGCCTTGTGAAAAATCTACACATAAGATCCCAAGTGTTGAGCCTTTTTACATGCAGGAAGAACTCGTAGAGCCTTTCCACCTCTTAGCTAACTGTATATAAAATGTGTATTACTGCCTAAGCAAGGCACAGTGATTTGAGCTTGAGGGAAAGATCTCAGCTTTCAGCTTGCAGCTTTCCATGGTCCTGCCTTGCTTTGTCACCCACACCCATCCCCTAATCAGAGCAAACTGCATCCTTGGAAACCTTCTCAATCCCTATAGCTAATTAGGGGCTCTCTTCTATATACATGCCATTTTGTGCATGTTGAAGTAAAGCATAGATCTTACTGTTTTCTAGCACATAGCTGACATCTCTTTTACCCTGCTAGATAATGTGATCCTTGATGGCCCTGACTGGGATGGACTGAGTGATCTCTAGGCCTATCTTAAGTGCTTAGATAGGCACTTAGTATTTAATTGTATTACAAGTGTGTTTCCCTGCTATTTGGATATTATTATTTTTTAATTCTTTAAAGGTGATCCTAGACCTTGAGGAAGAAAGGCAGAGGCACGCACAGGACACAGCTGAAGGAGATGATGTCACCTACATGCTGGAGAAGGAGAGAGAGCGGCTGACCCAGCAGGTAGTTAGGTGGAGGGGCTCACAACACCATTTGCCTGGAATAGCATTTCTCAAAGATCGTTCTGCAGGGTGGAAATTAGTGTTGCTCAAAAAGAAAGGGCTTTGTGGTCAAATCTGGGAATTACTGGATTAAACAAAGTTAAATAGATCTCTAATTCAATTTGTTGGACCCTGTAGTACAGAAAAGCACATTGTGAGTCTTAAGAACAAGATAGGGTATTCTGAGTTTAGCAAATCTATGTTTTCATGGAATCTTGTTTTGACATAGATCAGTCACTGTGGGACTGTCATTCTATAAAATGTACTCTGGGAACACTAGCTTCAAACTCTCAAGTATTTTGACCTAGGAATCCTGGTAAGAAATACATTTTATATCACAGCCCAATATATATACATACATAAACACATGCCTAAAACAAAAATCTGATGAAATCCCATATAACCCTTACTGGTTACAATAACCATTCTTTTTTTTTTTTTTTTTTTTTTTTTTTTTTTAATTTTGATCATGGCTCATGAGATTAGTTTCCTCATCCATTGGGTCTCAGAGTTTGAAAAACACTGACTAATAGGGTTCCATCAACACTTTCCCTCTTGGTCAGAGTTTCTCTGCCTTAAATAGGGTTGGGATGATAATTAAAATAGACTGCATTTGCATAACAAGTAGCGTTTAAATGCAACTATTCTTTTTTAAGACCAGAAAGAATGATTGCCAAAGCTTTCAAAGTGATGAGCCCTGAGTAACATGTAGAAGTGTTGAATCGCTATATTGTACACCTGAGACACACAGAACACTGTGTGTTCACTCTACCAGAGTTAAAATCAATAAATCGTTCTGTTTTCATCAGCATTCAGCGCGAAACCTGGTGTATATGGCTTCCTGTTTTCTGTATCGGTGGGTTCCAATCTTCTGAGCGCTCCACAGACCTAAAACACAGATGATGGCTCATATTCCTGCCGATAACAGTACAGGAACCAGAAGTGCCTCCTCGACCATCAGGGAAAGATTAAGCCGTAGCGTGTCCATTTCCGTGGGAGGGACTGTAAGACTTCAGAAATACTGGAGCTAAGCACATGGCATCCGTGGCAGACCACGTGCCAGAGAAGAGCTAGCCAGGACACTCGCCTGGAGAGTAGTTTTGCAGCGTATCTCTTCATTTTCTTACTCTAATCACCATGTATGGCGGCCTTCTTTTCCAGCTGGAATTTGAGAAGTCCCAAGTGAAAAAGTTTGAGAAGGAGCAGAAGAAGCTGTCCAGTCAGCTGGAAGAGGAGCGCTCCCGCCACAAGCAGCTCTCGTCCGTGCTGGTGCTCGAGTGCAAGAAAGCCACCAGCAAGGCAGCCGAGGAGGGGCAGAGGGCGGGAGAGCTGAGCCGGAAACTGGAGAAGGAGAAGAGCCGGGTGAGCCAGCTGGAGGAAGAGCTGGCCGCGGAGCGGAAGCGAGGCTTGCAGACAGAAGCCCAGGTGGAGAAGCAGCTGTCTGAATTCGACATCGAAAGAGAGCAGCTGAGGGCAAAACTGAACCGAGAAGAGAACCGGACCAGAACTCTAAAAGAAGAGATGGAAAGTTTGAAGAAGATCGTGAAGGATCTGGAGGCTTCTCACCAGCATAGTAGCCCTACTGAGCAATCCAAGAAGCCGGTAACCGTATCTAAGGGCACAGCGACTGAGTCTCCTGTGCTGGTGTCTGTATTTTGCCAAACAGAAGGTTTCCAGGCAGAAAGAACCCACGGGAGCAACGTAGCCAAGGTGCTGACCACTGGGCTGCCTGGCCCCACCACTCCTACTTACTCTTATGCAAAAACCAATGGCCATTTGGAGCCCGAGATACAAACTGCCAAGGAGTCGGTTACAGGCAGCAGTGTGGAAAACCAAGTGCCTCCACGAGAGAGGTCTGTGGGGTTGGCCCAAGAGAAAGCAGTGGAGAATGGCGGGTGTCCTGTGGGAATTGAGACTCCTGTGCCAGCACCTGGTCACCTCCCGTCCAGCGGGGGCTCGCTGTCTCCCAGCAGCACCGCCTCCTCCTCTCTCACATCCTCTCCTTGTTCCTCCCCGGTGCTAACTAAGCGCTTGTTGGGGTCCTCAGCCAGCAGCCCCGGCTACCAGTCATCCTACCAAGTAGGGATCAACCAGCGGTTCCATGCAGCGCGGCATAAATTTCAGTCCCAAGCAGATCAGGACCAACAGGCCAGTGGTCTGCAGAGCCCTCCATCCAGGGACCTGTCTCCCACGCTCATAGACAACTCTGCCGCCAAGCAGCAGGCCCGCAACACAGTCACTCAGGTGCTCTCCAGGTTCACTAGCCAGCAAGGGCCGATCAAGCCCGTCTCCCCCAACAGCTCTCCCTTTGGCACAGACTATCGGAATCTGGCCAGCACTGCCACCTCGAGAGGGGACACCAGCCATTCCCCTACTCCAGGGAAAGTGTCCAGTCCACTGAGCCCTCTGTCTCCAGGGATCAAGTCCCCCACCATCCCCAGAGCTGAGAGAGGACACCCGCCTCCCATCCCACCCAAAAAACCGGGCCTCACTCCCTCTCCATCCACTACCACTCCATTGACCAAAACCCCTTCCCAGGCCTCCTCCTTGGCCGCCGCAGAAGACCTAGCCGGCAGCTGCTGTTCAAATGCCATTGTGGCTAACGGCAAGGACGTCGAGATCCTTCTGCCTACCAGCAGCTAGTCCCTAGCGGGAGGCTCCACGTCTGACATTCCACCAGATTCCGTCCAAGAGCTCAGAGTCAAACCGTTGAGTCAGATCATGTTATTTATTTTGATAGTAGCTGAAACCATCTGTATAATACATTTAGTGTGTTTCACCTTTTTGTATTTTTTTAAGTAGAAACCGAGTAGTTTGGATTTGTATGACTCACACCTTTGTACTAACGCGGGAAGGGCACCTCAAAGACATCTCCGGCTCGGCAGTCACCGACCTGTTGTGATGGAGAAAGCTAATTGAGTACCAGGTGGTGATTTGCTATTTTGGGACTAGAATCACTCAACACTCATTTTGAATTATGCAGAAAGTGGTTCGTGTAAATTTTTATTCCAGATGAACGTGTTTAAAAAGTGCCTGAAATAAGACTGCCATATGAATGTGATTGTGCAGCGAAAACACAAAATGGATCATCTAATTGCAGAAAATGAGATCCTCCGTGAATCCTGAATGTTAAAAACCAACACTGCTTTTAATCCTCTTTTGCTGTTTTTAATATAAGCTCTGTGTCCAGAAACAAGGCTGCATCAGTAGGATGGGAATCCTGAAGGTGGTTGTGGACTCCCCACAAAGCTGAGCTTTATAGAGCCCTTGAGAAACCCTCCTGAGCAGTAAGCAGCTGGGGTGCCGATTTTCTTGTACTTCTGAAAAATTAAGTCACTCCCAGTTTCCTGCATAAATTCTTGAATGGAATGAAATCACATCTCCTTTCAAAAAATGTCTTCGGGCATCTACTGTTGTGTAAGGAACTTCTGATTCCAGTCGCTATTACTTGAATAGAAAATGGCTACTCATTCTGTATAAAAGTTTTTCAACAGAATGAGATCTTTATTCTGTAATCAAAAAGCAATAACTGAAAAGTCACTCTCTTTGTAATATTATAAGTCAGAATTATACAGGTTTTACCAATATTATTACACTTCTTCTCCGAGCTGCCAACACTTGGTGTCTATATCTGTGGAACCAAATTAACTTTTCCCTAAATGGAAGAATGTGTGTGTGTGTGTGTGTGTGTGTGTGTGTGTGTGTGTGTCTACACACACACACACACACACACACACATACATATATATATGTGTATAGATACACACCCCTTTACGTGTTTAACATACACACACTTAAACACATAAATATTAGCGTGATTCTATCTTTGGAGTTTGCAATATAGCATAAAGGACGAGTAGACATGCACATTAAGATTACCTGTCACAGCAACTAGATGCCGCTGGGACCCAATCAGTCAAAGGAGGAACCTTGTCCACGGGGACGTGGGGAAATTCCAAATGAAGTCAGGTCTTCAGCATCACGAAAAACCAGAGCCAAACTCACCCCAGCATCACAAAACTCCACTGGCCAAATGAATGAGTGAAACCGGTCACTCAATCAAGCGCTGTAAGACAGCCAGGAGAGGGGGAGCTGTAGCAAACGGAAGTGCCCAGGCCCCCTGTGAAAGGAAAGGGCCACCCCTGTTGAGCTCCAGCTGCTTGCTGCCGTGCGATAGTGTTAGCCCAGGGTTACCAGCTCCTCAAATCTGGGGGAAAGCCAGATTTTCATAGAAACATTCTCATTTTTAAATATCAAAACAGATTCAAAAACAATTTTAAACTTCTGGTTAAACACTTGTGCAGCTGGGTTTAGCTCAGAAGCTGACAAGTTGCGACCTCATTCGTTCTAGAAACTTCCAGCATTTGCATCGTTGTGAGTTTGTGAGGACAGACACCTCCACTCTCCAACTTGTAGGCTAGTACAGCTGACAGAGGCTATAGAATATAATGAGGATCCTCGTCTTCCAAACAAGACTTTGCAACCCAGCTCAAACAAGGTGGTTATATGATTTGTCCACGGATGGAGAGGCCTTGGTGTCCTCACATACATTCTCCCTAGCCAGTGTCTACCCAGAAGCCCTGCCCTGCTATAATTTGAATCTACTTCTTCCCAATCCAATATGAATTGATGGGGGGACAGGCAGGTGATGGAAATCAATGTATAAATCACAATTGGTGTCTCCAGGGCTTACGGTTTGATTAAGGCCAATACAGAAAAAATTAAAATACTACTAATGGCCCAGGGCATCTACCAAATGATGAAGGTGGTATCTCAGAAATCGCCCAAAGCGATCATGCATGAAATTTTATTCCCACGCATAGCCAAATGAAGTGTTGATGATAAAATAGCTGAATTTTTTAAACAGGAGAGGGGGCTATAGCCCCAGAGTTTTATTACCTCTCTTGCTTTAAATGGTAATCTTAAAAGTTGCATTGTGCTCTTCCTTTGTTTTGGCATAGATATATATATAGAGAGAGAAATACTATAAGGAGGTTTATTTCTTAGGAAATGCACTGAATAATGTATTTCTTTTACAGTGTAATATGGGGGTGGGGGAAATGCAAAAGAAACGTGTATTTTTGCTAGTTGCCTATCTTCTAAGATAAATAAGCACAATATTGCAATGGATCCAATACTCCAGTTAGGTATTCTAGATTAGTATTTAAATTTGCTGTAGATTGTGTGTGTGCTAAGTAAAAGTTCCATGATTCACAATTTCGGTATTAACCCATGTTGTGCTGTGTTACTACTCAACAGATTATAATGGATGTGCGACACATAACACAAGCATTAACTAAATCGTTTGTAAAGCCAAATGTACCATGCAGAAGTCTTCATCCACTTTTATAGCAGACTACATTAAAACAAGCTAAATCATTCTGTCTGGGGAAAATCTAGTCTTGTTTGTACAAAGTGAAGGATGTTGCACAACAGGGCCTGTTTTGTTGGGGAAGGAGCAGGTGGTGTAGAGGAAGCACTCGTCTGTGGCTTTCAAAAACCCAAGTGAAGTCAGTGACCCATCCAGGTTAGACTCCAAAAGGAGCTGGCATATTGGTTTTCTTTAGAACCTTAGAGCTGGAAGAAGCCTTGGCAATAATCCAGTCTGTACTTTTCAAACCCTGGGCGGGGGGGGGGGGGGGGGGGGGGGGGGGGGGGGACGGTCTGGACCTGAGAATCTGAAAAAAGCTAGGCACCATCCCCAGACAAATGAATATACTAATATGTAGAGTTTGGTTGATGGCTTCACAGGATCCAAAGACCCTGAAGCCATCCATGATTCACGTACTCTAGCTTAAGAACGCCTGATCTTGTGCCCTCTCATTTTACAGGTGACTATCAAATCCCTCATCGCTCCTCTTAGTCCAGTGCTGTTGTGCTACATCGTTAGCAAGTGAGAGCTGTAGGCAGACAAAAGCACTTGAAAATCTTGTGACGTTCAAACAATATGGATGTTTGCATATGTTAAGTTTCTAGCATTTAAGCCAATTAATGATCATTTCAACAAACACTGGGTATGTCTTCCCGGAACAGCCTCACTGTCAGTAATGCTGCCCTGTCTTCCCCGGGTGGTCCGTCATGCCTTGGGTGGGGTTTCCTCCTCTCCCCTTTCTACACCTAGAGCATCCCTCCCTCCCACGGACAGTCCTGCAGGTCCTGCAGGTCTGTTTGGCTCTAGACCGTGTCTCTACCTTTCCTACCCTCTTGGAGGTGGCCTCTTCTCTGCATTTAGCAGTGGAGAGTATTCTGCCAGTCTTTGGGTCATTTTCTGGGTTATTTATACTGCTATGGGTGTTATCTAGGTGTATCTGTGGGACGAAGTGAGCCTTAGGACCGTCTTGCTCCGCCATGTTCCCCAGAAGTAGCAATGCTGCCTTGTCAATTAATTTATAAGCAGCTCTTCTGATGCTTGGTTTTTGAAACAGAACTTTATTTTTTTTTTATTTATATATGAAATTTATTGTCAAATTGGTTTCCATACAACACCCAGTGCTCATCCCAAAAGGTGCCCTCCTCAGTACCCATCACCCACCCTCTC